TCTCTATCTCTTTCCCTTTCTCTGTATATCAGATCACGTCAATTCGCGTTCGCCCTTCGTACGATATACCCTCGTTAACATACTGACAGCCGTTCAATGTGCAAATTTGTTTCAATGTTGGGATGTGATCGAGTTTGCAAATCGTTCGATAAGATATTGAGAAATGGTTTGGGAAAGGATAAGGAGAAGAGTAACGAGAGTTGGAGATAATTGATAAAATTTTAATTGACGGGCTCACGATCGATTGGAGAGTGAAGGAAGTTTGTATTTTTCCTTAAACGAGATAATTATGGATAAGATGCGATTCTTTATGTATTACAATTATAAATTTCTGGTATTTAATTTACTTAGATAATATGTTTTATTATTTGGATTAAATTGTTAAACTTTCTCCAATTTTTTTTTTATTATTAAAAATAATTTTAGACTTTCGAATGAATAAACATTCGATGTAACAATTAACTGAATTATTCGAAAATATTCATAAAAGCAATATGTACATTGCAAATCTTTTAAATCTTTACATTGACACTTTTATAATGGTCAATCCTCTCATTAAGAATTTAATTAGGTGCATACTTGACGCATCGTTTCATTCCTTATATTACTTTAAACTGGTAACTTTTTCTCTTCTTGCAATATAATTACGATAAAAAAAGCGAATCGAGTATTCGAAATGCAACTTCGAACATTAAACTGCTTCGATGGATGCTCGTAAAAGTTTTTACGGCGCATCCTGACGCGCCAAATCGAACGATAATTACATCGAGACTCGAAAATCGTTCGGACTCGATATAAAAATCCATATCGACTCTCATTATCGTCGCTTGTCGTCGATTCTATAACTTTATAACTCACGGTTAAACCCTATTGTACCCGAGTATAATTCCTCCTTCTGTTTCAACGATTGAAGTTGAACGATCAACAGACCCCAAATATCTCGATAGCAATCCAAAACCCACGATTCCTTACACAATACCTGCTATAAATTCTCGATACTCTTGCTATAAATTCTGTTGTGAAATATTAGATACCTTGCGATGAAGTGAAAAGATATCGACATTCCGAATTGCAATTGTTCGAAAACTCTTTCCATCATTGCGTAAATGATAGAAATCGCATAGTTAGACTTCTTATCTTTCGTAAAATATACGCAGTTGGTGTCGCAGTTGTTTGTATCCGTTGCGCTGGATATGAAACTGTTGAAGAATATAAGTTTACGTATCGTTGTAAAATTCGTATGAAAAGTAGAAAATCAGAGGAAACTTTTCACGAGTTTGGACAAGAATCACAAGAATTCCAATTATAGAATTATAGAGGAAATATATACTCGATATTCCCAATGTAATTAATCAAACAAAGTATACTAGTAAAGAAATACCAATGGAATATATCGCGATATTCGACGAACACCGTTGAAAACCAATGAAGGCGAAAGTAGCCAACCTCGAAGACTCGTAAATCCAGATTCGCCTCGGTCGATCTTATCCCCCATCCCGAAGGATCATTCAGCTCGCGGCGGAATAAAGAGTTTAGCGATCGATTGGCTTTTTATCGTGCGAATCGAGCGTTGGTCCCGGATAAAGCAGGCGGTGGTTGCTCGTGCGAGAGAGCGAGCCGGCCGACCGACGATTTATGCCCCCAGACTTATTTGGCAGCATTGTTTACGGGCCAGGAAGCAGTTTGTCCCGAACACTCGCCTCCTTTTTTGCGATATAATTGCAGATTCTGCGCGTCCACGCAGCCAGGGCGGTCCTTTTTTGCGGCGGATCTTTCTGTCCCACCGAGCCATAAGAAACTCACCAGGCCGCGATCGTGGCTCCCTCTCGCCC